CATTCTTGCAAACTTGGAATCCTTTTAGACATCTCTCACCGACACTGGTGACTCTTGATGTGTCCTTCCAAGTCTTCAATGTGCTTGTTCTCAGTGGCATGGTGGGCAACATACCGATGAATCTGGAGACTTTGCAGAGGTTGGCAGAGCTGTCAGGGTTTGGCTTGACTTCCGCACGTGTTGCCTTCCCAGGACACATCAGCCGGAGTGCGTCGCACTGCATTGTATCGTTTCCCGGTAAGTACAGCGACCTGTGGGACAAAGCGGTCTCACGCGTTGCTCAGGAGGATGCGTTCTCGCTTGCTTGTGTATTCTTGACAGACGCTGCGTCTGGGTTGGGTCGGCATGCGAACAACCCAGAGACCCCTGGCAAGTGCTGGTGCCAAACAATTTATGGCCGGGTACCAGCCTCTACGTACCTCAGTGTGGTGGAAGTCAGCACCGACGAGTCAACTGCCAATGAACAGGCGCTTGCCTTCAAAAGAGCAGATGCCGAAGCGATGGGCCAGAGACTGCTGATCAAGCAACATCAAACAGACATTCAATGGGAGCAAGAGCTTGCAGAGGCTTTGCAAGATGCCGAAGTCCGCTGCATCGAGAATCAGGACAGAGCCCCCTGGGGTTGTCAGTGGTTCGAAGAGTGGAAACGGAACGTGGACCGGGCGGCCGAATTGCAACAAACACTTCACGTTTTCTACTTTCAGGACAGCAGAGGCAAAGGCAAGATGCCTTGGGATCTGCTGGCAGATGAGACGGCTAGGCAGGAAGCCCGAAAGGATAGTGGCCTCGGTGTTTCGCAGACCGCAGAGGTAGCTTACCTTGACAAGATGGGGCTGAGCTATGTGGAGCACGACATCATGGAGTTTGAGGCATTCCTGACATGTCGCACGAAGCAGCCGCAGAGAAACGGTATGTGCTTTGGCATGCTCTTATTCAGTGTAGAGGCAGGTAGGTGTTCCTCAAAGAGTTGGGTCGCCTAGTTGGCAAGGCTTAGGTTGCCAAAGGAAACATTTGGCCATGTATCAGGGCAGAACTAATTATTCATGCGACTGCTCAGTGTTGCCACTGCGGCTGTTGTAATTCGAACATACTATTATCCCTTGGCATCAAAAGCGCCCAAAAGCCTTACATAATGGGGTTTTTGGGCCCAAAAGGCTTAAAATATGAGTCCTTCGAGGGTAAGGGTTATGTAAACTGATATGCTTGTGCTGGTGTTGGCAACCTACGGATTGGAGGATGCATGAGGCAAAGCGCAGGTTGTGCCAAGGCGGAGGCAAGCCACAGCAGAGACGGGAACTTAGGAACCTGATTAAGAAACCCTGGTCCTTTTACCCCGAAAGAGTAGGATCCTTGGAAACAAAAACCAACCACAGGAATATCCCCAAATAATTAAGCTCTATAATCCCTAATGAAGACCCAGGGTTTCTTAATCAGGTTCCTCTCCGGAGAGACCAGACCCCAAAAGAGGCATCCTTTCCCCCTAGGCCCTTAACCCTAAACCTTGCATCCTGAACCCTCGACCTCAAACGGATCAACCTGGAAAAATCCTAGCCCGTGACCTGATATGGTAACTTGAATCCTAAGCGTGACCTAGGGGCGTAAGTAATTACCACTACAATTGTGGGGGTTCCGTATGATGATAATAGTATCATATACCCCAAGGACCTTGTTCTAATTCTTAAGGCCCCTATGGTGCTGATTTCTAAACCGTCAGCCCTGCACAGACTGTACTTACGGCCCATGTCCGCAAACCTTCGAGCGCTCCAAACCCTAAACCCACAAACCCCCAACCCTAAAAGCCCCAAGCTCTAAACCCGAAAACCCTAAACCCGAAAAACCCTAAACCCTAAACCTCTACAAACCCTAAACCCAAAAACTCTAAAAACCCTAAACACTCTATTAACCCCGTTAGGCTAGACAAATTTTCTAAGCAGGGAGCCTCAAACTTGGAAGCCCGCCAGTCATAGAATCCTAAATTCAGGGTTTAGGGTTCAGGGTTTAGGGTTTAGGGTTTAGGGGTTTAGGGTTTAGGGTTTATAAGGCTTTTAGGGTTTGGGATTTTAGGGATTTTAGGGATTTTAGGGCTTTGGGTTTAGGGTCTAGGGCTTTTAGTGTATAGGGTTCTAGGGTATTTAGGATTTGGGGTTTTTAGGGTTTAGGGTTTGCAGGGTTTTGAGGGTTTAGGGAGTCCAAAAGCTTTCAAACTTAAAACCTCGAAAGATCCCTCGAGGCTTTTCCGCGACTCTGATTGCCAGAACTTGAAGATGAGCTGGGCTAAAATGGAGGTACTGTGCACGATTTTGATTTCAGGCGACAGGGTTGCGGAGTCCGTCTTGTTTCTGTTTCTCAAACCGTTGCCGCAAACCTCGGGGGCAAAGTGTACCCCAAAAGGGTTTAGGGTTCAATTGCCATGCATGGATTCATAGCATAAGTTTAAGCCTATAGCGTTCCGCTTTCAGGGGAAATGCGTAAGTCCCTCAACCCCTAAGCCCTAAATCCTCAAGTACTTGGTTCCCCAGTACAACCCTTTTGCCCTCTTTCTTTGTCGGTTCCCTTATAAAAACCAAACAGTAGGAAAAAGGGTACCCTTCTTATTAAGGAGCTGCTGGGAAAGCCTGTAAGCTCTAAATTCCGTTAAGGGTTCAATTGGGTTTAGGACTGGTTTAGAATTTGGGGTTTAGGGCTCTAAGGGTTTTGGGGTTTACGGTTTAGGGCTCTTAGGGTTTAGAGTTTAATTGGATTTTGGACTGGTTTAGGGTTTAAGTGATATAGGGGCCTGAATAATTACCTTTACTAGTTTGCGGGGCTCCTTATTATAAATATAGTACAATATACCCCCAAACCTTGTTCTAATTATTAAGGCCCTTACATTAGTTAGGGTAGTGAGGGTTCTTAGGGTTAGCAGGGTTATTAGACGGTATTAGGGTTATTAGGGTTAAGGGTCTAGGATTAGTGTATTTGTTGGCAAACTGTGGTTTCATCTACAGTCAGAGCTCTCCGAGACAATCGGTTAAACCCAGGGATCCCAAAAACCCTGCTGTCTGAAGGGCTTACCCATAGGCCCCATACTAGTTCCTTTTAGGGAAACATGAACCGCCAAAAAGGAACTACTAATGGGCCTATGTGTAAACCATAGACCCTAAACCCTAAACCCTAAAGCCCTATAGACCCTAAGCATTTCAACCCTAAACCCTAAACCCTAAACCCTAAACCCTAAAGCCCTATAGACCCTAAGCATTTCAACCTCTAACTAAGGGGTACGTTGGAGGGTTCGGGAGGAACCCTCAGGGTCTAAGTACCTAAGAACCCTTTGGGAGTTTCCGAAAATTAGGGTCCCTTATTTTGGGGTCCTTATTGACGGATCCTACGATTTATGGGGCTATGTTCGGGTCCCCTATCTTCGGAAACTCCATATTCTATGCCAAACACTAATTAAGCCTACAGCACGACGATTCTGAACCCTATAGGGCCTGATCAATGGGTCCGCTGGACCCTCAGACTTAACCTATGCCCCTCAAACCTCACTTTACAAGACCCTTTTAAAGACTGATAAGTTTCGGGTTTAGGGTTTAGGGTATAAACCAGATTAAGAAGCATTAATTGGATAGGTCTGTTAAGCTTCTGGAAGGTGTAGCAGGACCCTAAGAGAGACCTCATTGTGTGTACCAGGGGTGCGTTGGTAGGTAAATGCAGTTTAGGGTTTAGGGTTTACCTAGACTGTAGTACCTTTTGACTACCTGTTGTAAACTTTGGTAACAAAACAAGGTGCAAATTTTAAGGTGTAGGGTAGGGTGGAATCTCGAACGTTCTTGGTGTGTCTCGGTTTTGCGGCATAAGCCATTTGGCCCTCAACCCTAACTCCCAAACCCTAAGCCGTATCATGAGTGGCGTACATACATAATCTGAGGATATTTGCAATATCTCCCGGTGGTAGATGCCTGTTGGGCCTCATCCATGCACCTCATTTCAATTCATATGCTAGTGTCTCTACATCTAAGAACCTCCCCATATATGTCTGTGTGATGTATGTATACATGTGTGTGTATATATATATATATACATTTCTAATGTATGTAACCATACGCACAGACATGTGTCTGAGCGAGAAGGTGCCAAGGACTTGCAGTGTTGAATCCCTTGTCCCCCCGTGCTCATCCACTGCAAATGATGGAACTTCTACGTACACCAGAAATACTGATATACATGAACAGCAGGTGTACGCATACCTACCCTGTTTGTACTTTGAAAACCGGCAAGCAGGATTCGAAGACGGAGCGGGAGAGAGGAAGAGAGAAAGAGAGAGAGTGTGTGTGTGTGTGTGTGTGTGAGTGAGAGAGAGAAAGCAAAAGAAAGAGACAGAGAGAAGGAGGCTAGTTCAAGTCCTCGTGCCCGGAAGCCCCTAAAAAGCCTAACTCCTTAAACCGCTCGCCGCCCGCAGATCCGTCTAAAGCACTAGTCGTTTATGGTGACAGAAATTGCAGCATGCATGTTGACCATTTCAGTTAAACATGGGCATCCAGCCTTTATTCTGGAGTTAGGGGCTACCAGATGGCGCAGGCCTGAACCCTGCGAAACGCGGTACTAGGTCCTCCAAGAATACTGCTACACCCTAAACCCTAAACCCTAAACCCTAAACCCTAAACCCTAAACCAAAACCCGAAACCTAAACCCTAAACCCTAAACCCTCGGGGGTAGGATGTTTGAGTTGAAGACTAGGAACAGGAGTAATTCAGCGGCCTGAACTGTGAGCTATGCGGTTCGTTAAGGCTCCGTACCATGATCCCACCTAAACCTCCCGAAAAGTAGGTAAAATAGTGGCCCAAGACCCATGCATAAAACGCGATTATTGTACATACTTTGCTTGGAGGTTTAGGGGACTTAGTAAGTAGGTTATAAGTAGAGTTATAAGTACCTTAAAATGGAGTTACCCCAATTATAACCCTACTTATAACCGACTTACGAATTCCCCTGGGCCTCTGAGTACTAGAAGCTCTGCAGCCATGCCCGCTGCTTGGCCGACATCCCTGGCACGCTATGGCACCTCTTCTTTCCACAGATCCACGACCTAAACCCTGCACCCTCAGCCCTGAACCCTAGACCCAGAACCCTGAACCCAAGACCCCAAACCCAGACCCTAGACCCTGAACTATAAACCCTGAACCCTAAACCCTAGGCATAGACTCTGAACAGTGAACCCTGAACCCTAAACCCTAAACCCTAAACCGTAAAAGCTCTGAGCCCGAAACCGCGAGGTCCCTTCCTTGATAGTGACGGCTTTGAGGTTCCGAATATCAAGGCAACTACCTTAATTTAGGGTTCAGGGGTTTAGGGTTTAGGATTTAGGGCTTAGGGTTCAGGACTTAGGGCCTAGGGTTTAAAGTTCCTCAAATCTGTTTCTTCATGTAGTTGTGTAGAAACGTACGGTTTTGGTTTGCAGGTAGGGTGCGGTTGAAGGTATGTGGGTCTGCGCCCTTGTTTTCCTGGACATTCGCATAGGCCGAGCAACGATCGTGTTATCGATATAAGTCAGCTACCCTAAACCCTAAACACTAAACCCTAACGCAGAGTGTTCCGCACCAGCAGCAGCGACAGTGACACGAATTGGGCCATGCTACGATTAAATGTGAATCTGTCTCGTAGCACCAGACAAATGGGTGGTTGTCAAAATTATGGTCCCTTTTGGGGTACCTTAAATATTAGGTGCCGTATTATAATAAGGACCCAAAAAGGGACCATAATTTTGACAACCACCCAAATAAGTGCGATGACAATATGGGTCAATATGGTAGCAGAGCCAAGAGAAACAGCAAGAAGAGCAAGAGAACCAGGATAATAGGTACTGATCTTTTGGTACAGTACATGTGCATGCACATAGTCGATGTGCCTTAATTTTTTTAAGTGGAAAGTCTTCCGTAGGGTTCCTTAGTCTGATTATGCTATATGATTTACCCAACAGCCTGCTCTGTCTAATTATTAGGCCCCGAAATGACATGCGCATGTTGTTCAACATGTAGCACTTTCAGGGTACAAGGAGGGTCCTGGTTAAGATTTGCTCAAACCCTAAGGCTCAAAATAGCCCAAACGCCTTACATGGTATGGTCTTTTGGCACAGAAGCCTTAAAATAATGAGTCCTTAGAGCCTTATAAGGCAAGCCAAGGTAGCCAAAGGTCCCCAAACCCTAGACCCTACACCCTAAAATCCTGAACCCTAAACCCTTACAACATGAGTCCTTAGAGCCTTGGGGTCCAAATAGTCTCCATTTAGTTTGGTGGCTCCTTCAATCACAATTTAGGGTTTAGGTTTTAGGGTCTAGGATTTCGGGTTCGGGGTGTCCGCGCTCTGGGCTCCTACTTTGAGACTCATTTGATACTGTAATGGTTTGCATGGGGCTTGCGAGCCTTTGACGTGCGTTTAACTTGACATCCATATTTCGGAGTCACCAAGATGCGTTTGCCAAGAGCCCGTAGCCTTAGAGCTGAGAAATTGCTGTCGACTCTCATACAGCCTCTGTTGAACCCTCAAGTTCAGGCTCGACTACCATGTCTGTGTGTGTCTCCCCTTGTAGTCCCAAGGTCTACCAAGCTAATTTCAAGGGCTGAACTCGGCACCCAATACCAGAAATCCTGCATTACCCAAAGTTAAGAATATTCCATAGTTCCCGTAGTTTAGGGTCCTTACGGTAAAGCAGGATTTTTTTCATCAGCTGTAGTAGTTAAGCCCTAAACCCTAAACCCAAAACCCTAAACCCTAAACCCTAAACCCTAACCCCTAAACCTTAAACCCTAAACCCCTAACCCTCGGTTTCAGAGCCATCAAAGACCTCTCTGAGGGCTGTTGCGGCAGCAGGGGGTCAAACCCGACGTGGTGGACGTCACGCAGGCCACTTAAGGGTTTAGGGTTTAGGGTTTGGGGTTTAGGGTTTAGGGTTTAGGGGTGCGGTTAAGGTTGGTGCTGGATCTGGTGCGTGGCCTTAAACCGTACAACACCTACAACCCTAAAGCCCTAAGCTGCTTAACCCTGCAGTCTCTAAATCCCAAACCCTACACCCCAAACAAAAGGCCATGACCCCGACGCCCCCAAACGTAAACCCAAACCCTGAACCCTTAAACCCTATCAAGCCTAAACCATAAACCCTAAGCCCTCGCCTGTCGAAGGAGACTCTTAGGCAGGAGGAACAAGGCATTCAAAAACAACAATCCGAATAAAGGGGCCTACATAATTACGGTTTAGGGTTCAGGGTTTAGGGTTTAGGGTTCCTATACTATTTGGGGGCGGTCCTTCTTATGATTACAGTATAATGTACCCCCGAATAACCCATATTCTAATTTTTAAGGCCCCTACACCCTAAACCCTTATAGTCGCCCTTCAAGAACCCTTTATAAGGAATCCTTTATAGACTCCTTACGCCCCCACATTAAACCCGAACACCTCAACCCGGTAGGATGTTCACTACCCCAAAGGGTCCTGGGTACTGTTATGGGAGATACTTCCCCAAATCATAATCCTAACTCTTAATATAGAAACCCTACATTCTACTATATAGGTACTTTGGACCCCTTGGGCTACGGATGGCCTAGCTCGTCGTGCCGATAGCGGCCCCGGAGTCGGTTTAGGGGTTAGGAGTTTAGGATTGGTTTAGTTAGGGTTTAGGATTCAGGGTTTAGGGTTTGGGATTTAGGGTTGAGTTTAGGGTTCAGGGTTTAGGGTTTTGGGTTGAGGGTTCCGGGTTTAGGGTTTATAGCGTCTCAGAATCTGAGTGTTCAGTCAGTAGATACGTTAATCGCAATGGCCCTAAGCTAGAAGTCCTTCGGAGCTAACTGAAAGTATATATATATATACACATACATATAATATATGTATATATATATATATATATGGTTAAATGTATGCGTCGCCTTCATGGTACATGGCAGGGTTTATGTAGGGTTCAGGGTTTCGGGTATACCTTCCGAAAATCTACCTAGGGTCTAACACCTGAAGCAGCAGGGTTGACCAGTAGGGGTTTAGGGTTTATGGGTACATGACTAGGGCTTGGGGTTTATAATAGTGACCAGATGTGCATATTATATTATAAACAACAGGATGCAGGAAGCATTTTTTGGCCTGTGCCGTGCGGGAACAGAAATCAAGTCTCTTTACCCTGAACAAAAGCCCCATAGTGTTACCACGCCGTTTGGGGAAGAAGAGCACCGAAAGAGCAGACAACTTCACAACACAAGACCACCAAACCATAACAGCCCGCCAAACATATGACCACAAGCAAGAAGCACGTAAACGCAATCAAAACAGCAAAGCACAAAGAACACAACCCCTAAGCCCTAAACCCTAAACCCTAAACCCCTAAAGCCCTAAAGCCCTAAACCCTAAACCCTAAACCCTAAACCCTAAACCCTAAACCCTTAAGGGACTGAAACACTGGCGTGTGGAGGCAGTGGCCGGCTGCGCCGGCCTCTACTGGCCTGTGGCCTTGTCCGCTCTCGGGGAGGTGGACGGAGGTGTTTCGGGGTTTAGGGTTTAGGGTTTAGGGTTTAGGGTTTAGGGTTTATAGGGTTTACGTAGGGTTTTCGGGATTTTTATGGTTTAGGTGTTGCGGGTGTTTTAGGGTTTAGGTGTTTCGGGTGTTTTAGGGTTTAGGGTTTAGGGTTTAGGTGTTTCGGGTTTTTTAGGGTTTAGGGTTTAGGTGTTTTAGGGTTTAGGGTTTAAGTGTTTCGCGTTTTTAACGGTTTAGGGTTTAGGCTTTATCCCTAAGGCTCAAAATAGCCCAAAAGCCTTATAGAGTATGGCCTTTAGGCCCAAAAAGCCTTAAGATATGAGTCCTTAGAGCCTTAGGGTATGGTTTCAGGTTTACTTGGAACCTTAGGGAGGGTAAGTGTTCGTTTATACGAGCAAATAGAGGCTTTGAGGTTGAGGGGTTTAGGAATTGAGGGTTTTAGCACTCAGGGTTTAGGTTTTCTCTGGGAGTTTCCTCACCCTACACCTTATACCGATACCCTAAAACCCTAAACCCTAAACCCCATAAACCCTAGAAGCCCTAGAAGCCTATAAACCCTATAAACCCTATAAGCCCTAAGCCCAAGGCTTCGAGGGAGGACGTCCAGTTGAGGGCTTTGTGGCCCAAAGAGTCCACGTGCTGAGGCTTCTTTGTTACCCTAGGGCTCTAAGGGCTCAAGTTTATAAGGGTTTTAGAATTTTAGGGCTTTAGGGTTTTAGGGTTTCGGATTTTAGGATTTTAGGGTTTTAGGGTTTAGGGTTTTAGGATTTTAAGGTTTTATGGTTTAGGGTTTTATGTTTTTAGGGTTTTAGGGTTTAGGGTTTTAGGATGTTAGGGTTTTAGGGTTTAGGGTTTCCGTCCCTGGGGACTGACATTTTAAGGCTTTTGGGCCCGAAGACCATACTATTATATGAGGCCTTTCGGGCTAGTTTGAGCGTTACGGTTGACCCGGCCTACAAAGGGCGTTTACGCGGTGCACGACGGCTTTCATTTTTCTTGGCACTGTTAATTTTTTTTGAGGGGGGTGTTAAGGATAGTCGTTTAGGTTTGGAGGGTTTAGTCCTGCAAAGCGGTTGCTATGATAGGGTGCTAGACGGTCCATGTACGAACATAGCATACATTTGCCTTGTTTGGGGTTCCTTCTTAAGGGCCAGTGTAGAAAAGGCGTCCGTGTTAAGCTCTTTTAAAGGGCCCTTGGGTCGTACTGGAAGGGATGGTTTAGGGTTTAGGGCTTTGGGTTTAGAGTTTATGGTTTAGGGTTTAGGGCTTACCCGTCTGCAACCGATAACCCCCTGCAGCAGCTTAGACCCTATGAGCCTCAAGCCCTTTCCGACCATGTGATCCTAAACCCTACACTCAATGACGCCCTGATTGAACGAGGGTCCCTAAACCCTGAACCCCTGAAGCCTAAACCCTATACCCTGAAACCCTAAACCCTAAACCCGTAAACCCTATAGGTCCTAAAACCCTAAACCCAACCCGAATGCCTCACAGCACTGTTGCGATTTTAGAGGTTCTAGGGTCCATCTACCACACCGCGAGCACTAGTACTGCTTTCCCTACAGGAGATCCACTCGCCTGCCGTTGTTTAGGGTTGGAGCTACCCTAAACCCTAAACCCTACACCCTAAACCCTAAACCCTATTCTGTGGGTTTGGGGCTACAGATAAGGTTCTAAGACATTGGAACCCGAAGGTTCCATGCACCCCAATGGTACATACTGTGGCTTTGTATATTAAGCACCCAAATCACGGACCCTTCTACCCTAAACCCTACATCCTTACGGTACCCTTGTAGAGAATATAGAGAGCCCTCAAAACAAACCCCAACTGATTCCTTGAAGGGCACATGGTAAATCTCGAAGAAAGTGTAAAGGTGTAGCGGGTCTGGGTCAACAACTTAGGGTTTAACGGCTCAAGGCTTTGGGGCCTAGCTAGGACGAGGGGTTCTCCAGAAATGTGCATAACTGTAGCGTTTAGGCGTTTAGGGTTCAGGATTTAGTAGGGTTTTAGGGTTTAGGGTTTACCTGGGTATCCCAAAACCTACCGTTTTAAGGGTTAGTCCCTATAATTAAGGGGTCATAACCGACTATGTCGTGGGGTTTGGGGATACAGGTAGGGTTTGGATGGGGACTCCTTAGTCTTCAGAGGCCTCGAAGCGCCAACTGGCCAAGTCTCGGGCTTCTCCTTTGTAGCACGGCGGGGCACGTGTAGTTCCCAGATCAGGGTTTAGGGTTTAGGGCAATGTTCCTTACTTAGAGGCCCAGGGGACTTAATAAGTCGGTTATAAGTAGGGTCATAATGGGGGTAACTCCATTTAGGGTACTTATAACTCTACTTATAACCTGCTTACTAAGTCCCCTGGGCCTCCAAGTAATTGCGGAAGATACCGTAAAACATACTAAGAGATCCCATGGGTTTTGAGGAAGATTCCTCAATTAAGGGCTATTGGAGGGTTTAGGGTTTAGGGTTTAGGTCGTTTCACAAGAGAGACGAAAGGCATGTGTTTAGTGCTCAAAACGCCCCATGGATGGAAAACAAACCCTGTTTCGGGGTTGTAGTAGTAGGGGCCGTAGTAATTTTATAATGGGGATTCCTTAGGGTTCCCGTATGTATGTAAGTATATATTATATGTATGTGTATATGTATGTATGTAAGTATGTATTTATGTCTATATATGTGTATCTGTACGCATACATGGGGTCGCATTCATCCCTGGTTCTGGGTGGGTGTGTGGTTGGATGGGCGGGCCGGCGGGCCGAGCTTCTTTTTAGATAGGGTTTAGGGTTGAGGGTTTAGAGGTTAGGGTTGAGGGTTTGGGGTTTGGAGGTTAGGATTTAGCGTTTAGAGTTTAGGGTTTAGGCTTTAGGGTCGGTTTTGTTTCGTTACTTCATACATCGTGCACAGACCTATGCAAGTCTTACGTAACCCTGCAGCTAGTGTTCAACAAGGCCGCAAAATCCTGTGACAAAACCCTAAACCCTGAAGCCTAAACCCTAAACCCTCGGCCCCAAACTCTAAACCCGAAACCCTATAGGTTATAACCTCTAAACCCTAAACCCTAACCTCTAAGCCCTAAACCCTTAGCGGCAAACTCCCTAAAGCCCTGAGTTCAAGGCCTTGGCTGTACCAGCCCTGAATCCTACACTACCCGAAGGGTCCTATGTATAGGGTTTAGGATTTAGGGCTTTGGGTTTAGGGGTTTGGGCTTAGGCCTGCCATACCCAAACGGTCCTATGTACTGTTATGGGTTCCTTTAAGGGTTGAAGGTTCCTTTAAGGGTTCATGGACCTATAAATGGGGGATACTGCCTTCCGCCACAATGGTAGTTCCTAGTATAGAAACCGTACAATCTACTATATGTGTACTTTGGACCTATAACAATTATGCGCTTGTTTTTTAGGATAGCAGCTTTGTAGCCCATTTCTTGGGAGAGTATGTGATCGTTTGGTGCGTGACCCTCTGGGCTAGACCAGAAACCCTGCGATTTACGATTGAAATCTTTCCCTAATTGCCCAACTGCTCTGGTTTAGAGGAGTGCACTACCATGGTCTCAGGGTTGTGGGCACCGGCAATAGTAGCAGTGGCAACGCTAGCTGGCTTCGTCCGGATGTTATGATCCTGATTGCCCTCATGCTGCTGCTGCTGCTGCTGCTGCTGCTTCTGCTCCTCCGACTGCTACTGCTGGTTAGGCTTCACTTAACCCATACATGATCGAACCGAAGATTCTGGAGTTGCTTTGCGGTTATGAACTATCTGACACGAAAGGCACATCTTCTCAAAAAAAGTCCCTCGCGGGCACATCCGCGGCCTTCTGATCACCGTGTCGGGCTACCATTGCGAGAAGCCGGGTTGCTGCAGGATGCAGGCAGAAAACAATGCAGATGATTTGCTGAGTGTGCACAAGGAGTGGAAGTGGTTGTATTGGCTGTATTTAAGCCTGCGCCGAGCGATCCTGATGTTCTAGGCGGGGCTCCATCTTCAGGCAGTAATTGGCAGTAACATTCCTGGCAGCAGACAGCGCTTGTTTTAACGCCCAGTGAATGTAAGTAGTTTCAGTTCGCAAAGTTTTGGTTTCGAACATGCCCAGACTCCCTGGACCCACAGCTAGTAAAAATTCTCTGGAGGTTGCCATCCTCAGATTGCAGACAGACGTGGCACCTTGGCTCATGATGTCGAAACCAAGGCACAAGCATTTCAGCTGGCAGGAAGCGAGAAGTCGGTAGTATGTCGTGGTCCAGATTTGTCGGCGGCAGAAAACTCATATCCGGCGAGGGCTGTTGTGCCCTGCTGCACCAAGGGGACAACGTCAGCCACCGATTTCCGTTTTGTGGTTTCGTTCGGATGTCTTCGGAATGGGTAGTGGGCCGGGTTCCACTGGCACGTTCCTCAGATGTGTCCACTGCATGCAAAAGTCGTATAGCTGCACTTGCGGTAAGTTTTGTTGCGTTGTCTGTCCTTGTGTCTTGAAGTCTGGATTCCGAAGGTTTCGAATCCACCAAGCAAGCCGGGACTGTCAAACCAGTGCAATCGCGCGGCAAACATGAAAGCCCGGTCCCTCAGCCTAGAAGCCCTTGTACCCACCGTCAGCTCCCATCCCTTGAAGTGCAAGGTATTTTTTGGTGCTCAGTTCTGTGCTTTGCGCAGCGCTTGGATGATGGCACAGGCGTTGCTTGTGGTATTGGAGGCGCACGAAGATCAAACACACCGCATGACATGTCGTTCCTGACTCTGTGGGTATGTTTTTTCTTCTCGGGTTTGTAGTCTACTATAGTGTGTGTTTTGGAAATTCTGCAAAAAGAAGCATCACCATGCCCTGCGGCCTGCGGGTCCATGCGCTTATATGAACTATAGTAACTATAGGCCCTACAACTACCAAACACGGTTCCCGGGACATCTTATATACGATACTGCATAGGCACATGGACCCTGGACCCTATGGAGCCGTATAGTAGAGCTCACGACACCCCATACTGAACCCTATCAAGGCTTAATGAAATCAAAACAGCAGCACATGGACCCGCTGTTTTTCAGAAATAGCAACTTGAATCCAGAGAGGCTGCGATTGCATATTTTTCGAGTATCGTGTTGAATACATACGGATCCTTACCATGTACGATCTTTAGCTGACAAACATACATAGGGCTTTCTGGGTAGACCGTTGCAGCTTCGCAACGCCACTTGCCAAACTCAGATCCCGAAACCTGCATGTCTGTAATCCCGGCAACTCCGAAACTCCAACGTATCCCTACACCCAAAACCATGAATGAGGATTACTTGGTCCCTTAGGGTATGTTAAAGTTTCACGAAGTTTGAGTTCAGACTTCTCGCTTCGGGGGATCAAAGTGAGGTTTTGTTTTTTTTCGGCGGGTTGGGTTGGGGTTGTACTTGAACTTTTTCCTTGGGCTTGTAAGGAAGTGTGGGGATGTTTAATGTAGGACCTTAATATTAAGACTAGGGTTTGAGCGTATAGAATACTGTAAGCATAGTAACGAACCCCAAAAACCGTATTCTAATCATTAAGGCCCCTACATTACGAGTTTGCAATATCCGGGTGTCAAAGCCTTCCTGAACAGAAAACCTTGAACGCTACACCTTGGCACCGGTATTTTAAACCCTACGTCCGAAACCCTACGTCCGAAGCCCTATAAGTCCTAAAACCCTGGACCTTGAAACCTATAACCCTAAACCCGAAACCCGAAATTCTAAACCCCAAAGCCCTAAAGCCCAAAACTCGAAACCCCTAATTAAGCCCTAAGCGCTAAATCCTAAGCCCCATAACCCTAAATCCAAAACCCCAAAACCCGAAATCCTAAACCCCTAAACCCCTAAACCCTAAATCCGATACCCTACGTCCTAAAGCCCTAGACCAGGGCTCCGGGATGCTGGTCAACACCCTTGCTCTCAACGCGCTGCTGGCTGCTTTAGGCCAACGTGCCTGGCGTGCGGCGGCAAAGCTCGTGATGGAGGATTTGGGGTGTGGGGTCTCTGCCTATATTGGGTGGTTGTCAAAATTAGGGTCCCTTTTGGGGTATCCTAAATAATAGGTGCCGTATTAAAATAAGGACCCAAAAAGGGACCATAATTTTGACAACCACCCATATGGGAGTTTCCGAAATTAGGGGTACCTTATTTTGGGGTCCTTATAATAAGGAGCCTGCTATTTAGGGTGCTATATTAGGGTCCCCTATTTTCGGAAACCCCCATATTACAGTCTCCAGTGTGGTCCCGTTTCGGGGTTTCATTGTAGGCTTGTAGGATCGAATATAAAACTGGTTCAACCACAAGCCAATGGAGACAACCCCGAAGGCTCAAAATTGCCCAAAAGCCTTATATAGTATGTTCTTTGGGCCCAGAAGTCTTACAACCATGAGTCTTTGGATCCTTTGGGAATAGATAGGGTTCGGAGCTTCTAATTTCTCCATGGACTGCTACAAGAAGCTTCTTAGGGGCTGCCGAGACTTCTATGTGGAGTACGGGAATACTTGGCCTTATCATGCCCTCTCCTGTCGGACCTGTACAAGGAGAAGCTGAGGCTCACAAGCAAGAGCGAGCCCATCAGTGACACATTCATCCAGCAGGGTTTGGATGTTTACAAGAAAGCGCATCCGGAGATTTTGGAAGTGAGCATGAAGGACAAGGAGTTTCACGCAGACTCGCTCTTCTCAATGAAGTGTCCAAACTGTATTTCATTGTCAGAAAGGCAACCACACGAGCGGAAGTTACTTCAACAGTCGACACATCCGGTCCCGCCTTCGTTGGTCATCTTTATCGCCCTCGTCCTTTCAATGAAACCCATCGCGCGTGCACCTGCTGCCGCAACAGCAACTAGGGCCCTATAAGCCGTAAGCAGTATAAGCCCTAAGCCTTGCTTGTTTGAGGGTCATTTGGTCCGTGGGGTTTGACGTGAGAGCTTAGCCAAGCTTGATCTTGTATTTATAATTAACTGGCATCATTCCGACTGTCTTCCCTTCGGTTTAGGTTTCAGGGTTCCCCTTTGACTCCTTGGTCCAAACAATAGCCCAAAGCAGGTACTGCTTGTATGCTTTGAGATTCGTGTTGGGGAAGCACGCATGCCTCTATGGCTCTTGCGTAGGAGCAGAGACAAAAGGAGCCTTAATCATCCAGTCTCACCATGCGGACCCCTAAACTCTAAACCCTACAAGCCCTAAGTTGTTCGAATGCTCACAGAAACGCTTTCGGTCATAGTTGCCATGGTTGTTAGCAGCCGAGTTCTCACCTTGTCCTTTGTTGACATCGCACATGTTATAATGATTGGTTTATTTTTTTACTGTTGTTCTTATTGTTATTATCATTTGTATTTGTATTATCGTTAGTATTGTTATTTTTATCTCCATCATGTGCAGTTGCCGTGGTTGTCCATCCCTCACACAGATTATCGAGCCGAAGTATATCACAAGCCAGACAGCATCTGAGTCGAAACCCTAAACCCTAAACCCTGAACCCAGAAGCCTTAAAACCCAAGCCCTATCCTCTGACCCCGGACCACAAAACAGGCTTTAGGGTTTAGGGTTTTAGGGTTTAGGGTTCAGGGCAGTAAGTTTTGCACAGCACCCCAGCCATCCATATGATGCCGTACATACCCACTGTGGATCCCTCTCCCAGGAGCGGGTGCTTCGAAATGCCCGGGGCTCAAGACTTTAATCTAAGCCTCTAGGGGATGTATGCCGACCAAGCATAGATCCAGCAGGGTGAACCTGAACCCTAAACCCTAAACCCTAAACCCTAAACCCTCAACCCTAAACCCTAAACCCTAAACCCTAAACCCTAAACCCTAAACTATAAACTCCTTTTGTGACTAGGGTTCGGGCTTTGCTTAATGATGCAAATTGAGGATCAGGGTGATTCCTGTCTCTGTGGCTTAGTAGCTTCTGGCTCAGGGACTACTTAGACCCTAAACAACCTCCCTTTTTGAGGACCTATGAAAAGAAATCAACATAAGGAGCCCTAAAAAAAAAGGCGGGTTCTTAAGGGTCCAGGCAAACCCTAAACTGGGTTCTTCCCCTCTAGGGCTCTGATGACATGCGGGCAACTACCCGATCCCTATGATTTAGGGTTCAGGGTCTCGGGTTTAGGGTTTCGGGTCTTTTTAGGGTTCCTGACTATGAATTCCTGGTCTAAGTCCTCAAAAGCGCAGGTGATTTGGTGACAAGGTAGCCTCTGGTTACCTGGTCGGTTACATGGAAGAGGATGATGGCACTCATTTGGCTAGAACCCTGAACCCCGAAACTTGCAAACCCGATACTCTAAACCCTGAACCCCAAAAGCAAGGAATTCTAATCTGTTCTGCAGTTGGAAAAGGGCCCGTAAAAACAATAAAAAAAACCCAAAGCATGGAACCAGGTCATCTCTTTCAGCACCCTCGTCACTGCGTGTGGCGATGCAGATGAGTGGCGGCGCGCCTTGCGCCTGTCTCTCGTTTTGACCCTTCTTCCCCAAAGGGTCCAAGTATTAATATGGTAGCTACTTTGTAGGTATTTGGGCCCCAAAAGTATATACTATACTATAACTTGGACCCTTTGGGTTCCTTGGCACGGGATAGTTTAGGATTTCGACTGCTGGATAGTTTGGAATCAGCATTCTGACGACGACACGAGATGGTAAGGGTACCATGGTCCCCCAAAGCCCTAAACAGGACCTTTGTTATTGAAGGTAAGCCTAAACCCTAAACCGTAGAACTCCCAAGTTCTGGGTAGGGAAGCTCGGGAAGCCAACTGAGGTTTTCCCAGGTTCCCCAGAGCCGTTTGCAATCGCAGCTTTGCTGAACTGCAGCTTATCAAGTTAAAGCTTACATAGGGTTTTAAAAGGCTTGAGCTTTTTTGGGTACTATTATGGTTTAGGGGTCCCTAAACCCTAAACCCTAAACCCTTTAGGGGTCTAGTGTTTAGGCTTTTAGTCTTGAGGTTTTCGAAGGTCTAAGGGCTTTAAACTTAAGGTTTTCGAGGCTGAAGGTTTCCAGAGCTCGGCTGTTAGAGTTTGGGTTTAGGGTTTAGGTGTACTATAGGGGCCTTTATGGGTTCAGGGTTTAGGGTCCTTGAAAGGGTTTCTTGCGGATTTTCTTGAGAGGCTTTGGGGTAACATAGGGGCCTTAATGATTAGAAGAGGGGTTTGGCGGTATGTTGTACTATAATCATCACAAGGAGCCCCCCAAAACCCTATTGGAATGGCTAGGGCCCTTACATTATGTACGACCCTAAACCTTAAACCCTAAACCCTAAACAGGCTTGACACCTTGAAAGCATTGAGATGATAGACACTTCAGGAAACCTCTGTCCTTTTAGTGCCATGCTAGAAATCCTGCATTACCCACAGTGAAAGGGTATACCATAATTCCCATAGTTTAGGGGTTTAGGGCTTAGGGTTAGGGTAGCCCTAAACCCGAAACCCTGAACCGCAGCATTGGCTCATATGGGTAGTTCTCTAACTTAGATGATTGGTTTCCCTCTTTGGTACCCAGAACAGTACGGCACCCTTATAGTGCTTAGATTCACAAAATAGTACGGCACCCTTATGAAGGAAGTTTAATCCCAAAAATAGTACCGGACCCTAGAAGAGACCCTAGTTTAGAGAACTACATGTAGGGACGGAGAACTCCACAAAGAGTTTCGGCTGTATAGTATCACCTGTACGACTGAAGCTTTTTGTGTAGACTTGTAGTCCGGACCTGGCGGTGTTTTGAGGCTTACCCGAACCCTAAGAAAGAAAGCTACTGATGTTGTTTGCTGATCTTCCTAGGATGTACATCACATCTTTGGCACACACACAGAGTCTCTTTCCCTGTCTCGCTTCAGCAGACATTTTATACAAGAGTGGACGATTTCGGCCCAGAAGCCTTATTAACACCAAAACCTTAAGTTCGAATATCCGAATTTTAGAGTTTAGGGTTTAGGGTTTAGGGTTTAGGGTTGTAGGGTTGTAGGGTTGTAGGGTTGTAGGGTTGTAGGGTTTAGGGTTTAGGCTTTCAACTCCAAGCCGGCAAGCCTGGCGAGACCGACACAGGCTCACATTGTCATCCGTTCCGCTGGAAACCTTGGGTGCTGCCACCACTCGGTAACAGCTGGATAATATGTATATTATGGATATATTAGGCCCTTAATAGTAGCCCGATTATAGACAGTTACTGTATGGGGGCAGTACCCAATGGAAACCACATGAACAGTAGGGGGTTCGATCAATACTTTATGTCTTTTGGTTTCTCTTGGGTCAGTGGCCTTCACAATTAGAATAGGGGTTTTGGGCTCCTTTATGATATAATAGATAAATTAAGAAGCGGTATGGGAAATAAGGCGAATCCCCAAGACTCAAAAACCCCGAAGCTGCTAAAACCTAAAGCCTAAACCCTAGACCCTAAAACCCGAAACTGCTGAGGAACCTAGTCATCTTCAACGCAGCTGCCGCTGCTGCTGCTTCTGGTGCGGACTGGCGCCTCGTCTCTCCTTAAGGATCCAAAAAGACACTTGGTACTATGTAGGGTCTATAGGGGTTTAGGGGCTTAGGGGTTTAGGGGTTTTAGGGTAGGGGCCTTAATGCTTACTATGTAGGGTCTATAGGGGTTAAGGGTCTAGGGGTTTTAGGGTAGGGGCCTTAATAATTACTACTATAGGGGTTTAGGGTCTAGGGGTTTAGGGTTTAGGGTCTAGGGGTTTGGGTTTAGGGTCTAGGGGCCGTCATAGTGACCTCGACTATTCTTTTGGGATTCCTTATTATATTTAAAGTATAATGGGCACCAAAACCCTATTCGGCTTCTACATTATGGTCTAGTTCGTGCAATCCCTGAGCCGCGACTCGCGGAGGACTAGAGGACGTGTGGCAGGATCGCGTCGTCTCTATAGGGCTGAAGTTAAAGTGTTGTGACTATGCGTTGGCGCACAGTTTAGGGTTGTTTGGGGTGTTCATTTGGGGTTCCAGGGTCACTGGTCTGTGGGTTATAAGAGGGTTCAGGGTTGACGAAGGTTGCACCCTAAGCCCTACACCCTAACCCCTCAACCCGAACCTCCAGACCCAGACCTCTTTAAACCATAAACAACAAAGCCTGTAACCTCAGAACTACTTCGCTACTGAATCGCAGTTCTTCTCGTTAAGATGTCTATGTTACCATATGTTCTGCTTCTGTAACAGGGGGTCTTTAATGTGGTTGCTCAGTCAAATCGTATTACCTTCCATGGTCGAGGTACGAAGCCCTTCCCAAGCCTCTACGATGTCATCCCAGGCCCTGATATTGGATTCTCAACAGTCAACAGACATAGTGCACAGGTTAGTAGAATTGGAGTTGGAATCATGGTAGGCACCTATAAGGCTGCTTATAAACCTAGACCATATACCCCAAATTCTGAACCCAAAACCCAAAACCCCCTAAACCCTAAACCCAAGACCCGAAACCCTAAACCCTAACTCATAAACCCTAAGCCCTAAACCCTAGACTCTAAACCCTGAGCCCTAACTCCTAAACCCTATACCCTAACTCCTAAACCGTACACTCTAGACCCTAAGCCGTCGTTCCTAAAAAAACCCTTCACCTTCAAGTCGACCCGGAGCTCGATTAGCAACAGCATTCAGGCTACTCCCAAAAGGTCCGAAGCAATGCAGGGCCTAAATAATTACTTTGTTTTTGAAGGTTTAGGGTTTAGGGTATTTTTTGGAATCCATATTATATGTATAGTATAATGGGCCCCAGCACCCTATTCTAGTTATTAAGGCCCTATATTAATTACACAGTACAAAGGGGTTTCTATAGTTCTTTTTCAGACTCTAAACCCTAAACCTAAACCCTAAGCCCGTGATTTGTTGTGGCAAATCCCCCCCCTGGTACGTACTGAGGATCTTTTGGCACTGTGGAGCCCATATGGGTGTTTCCGAAAATAGGGGACCCCAAAATAGTACCCCAAATAATAGGATCCTTATTATAAGGACCCCAAAGTTAGGTACCCCTAATTTTCGGAAACTCCCATATGAAGTCTGTGAGTCAATGAAACGAAGCCCTCCAAGCCATATGGAAACCGTGGGATGGCCTTTAGACACCTTCAAGACGACGCAGACTCTGAAATCGGAAGCCAACTGCCAAAAGCAAATTTCAAAAACCCTGCAACCCAACCAAGACCCTAAACCCTGTAACCCAAGACCCTAAACCCTGTAACCCAAGATCCTAAAGCCCTGCAACCCAAGACCCTGAACCCTAAACCACCCATCCTCACACCCTAAACCCTAAACCCTAAACCCTAAACCGAAGCAGTTCTCCCAAGGAGAGGGGCGACGATTCGCCTCAAAGATCTTCAGGATTCCGCCGCAGTGGGTTTTGGGTTTCGGGTTTAGGGGTTTTGGGTTTAGGGATTAGTGTTTAGGGTTTTAGGGTTTAGAGTTAGGGATTAGGGATTAGGGTTCTGGGTTTAGGTATTAGGGTTTAGGGTTTTAGGGTTTAGAGTTTTAGGGTTTAGGGTTTTGGGTTTAGGATCTTTCTATGGTTTCCTGGACCCTACTATACAAAACCTCCCTTTTGGAATTCTTATTATGATTTCGTTGTATAAGTCCTTACTCACAACGGTATGTTCTTTGGGGTTAAGGTTTAGGGTTTAGGGATTCGGGATTAAAATGGATTAAAGGTTTAGGGTTTAGGGAATAAAGGGCTGCTTTAGGTATTCAAGGGTTTAGGGTGTAGGGATTGGGGATTAAACTGGATTATATACAGGGTTTATTTAGGGTTTAGGGAATAAAGGGTTTAGGGTCAGGGGTTTAGGTTTTAGGTATTAAAGGGTTTAGGGTTTTGGAGTCAGGGGTTTGGGGTTTAGGGAATACAGGGTTTAGGGTCAGGGGTTTAGGGTTTGGGTATTAAAGGGCTTAGGGTTTAGGGATTGGGGATTAAAATGGATTATGTAAAGGGTGTATTTAGGGTTTAGGGATTAAGGGGTTTAGGGTCAGGGGTTTAGGTTTTAGGTATTAAAGGGCTTAGGGTTTTAGAGTCAGGGGTTTGGGGTTTCGGGAAGAAACGGTTTAGGGTCAGGGGTTAAGGGTTTAGGGATTCGGGATTAAAATGGACCAGGGGTAGGGACCGAAGTTGTTTTGTAGGGTTTCCTGGACCCTATAAAAAAGCCTCCTTTTCGGGATCCTTAAAAATTGCTTCTTTATATAAGTCCTCAATAAGGTGGGCTCTTTGGGGTTAAGGTTGGGGTTTACGGGTTTAGGATTACAAGGTTTAGGGTCAGGGGTGTGGGTTTTAGGTTTAGGGTCAGGGGTTTGAAGTTTAGGCATTAAAGGGTTTAGGGTCAGGGGTTTAGGGTTTAGGGAGTGAAGGGTTTAGAGTGAGGGGTTTGGGGATTAGGGATTAAAGGGTTTAGCGTCAGGGTTCAGGGTTTAGGGGTTTAGAGATTAAAGGGTTTCGGGTTTGGGGTCCAGGGTTTAGGGTTTCAGATGCGGAATTTCAGGGCTTCATAATGAGGATCCGAAGATCCATCTGTCCATGTTTGGGTTTATCATGTTTTGGAGCCGGAGCCTTCGGATTTTGCCGTTTCGGGTCCTGGGCTTTCGACCCTAAACCCTAAACACTAAACACTAGACCCTTAAATTAACCTAAACCCTAAACCCTAAACCCAAAACCCTATAATCCCTACACCTTTAAAATCCCGAAAGGAAGCAAAAGACAGCGACCCTGCAAACGAGAAGCACGCCTGAACGACCTCGAAGTCTTGCGATTTTTTTGTTGCTGGCTCAGGAGCACGCTACGAGGCCTAAGCCACTCAGAACTTAGCCTTAAATCGAAGTGAATTGCTGCGCGAAAGATACCTCGCTGAAGCTTGCGGCTCCGAAGATTAAAAAACCTCCTAAACCCCGAAACCCGAAGCCCTCAAACCCTCAACCCTTCAAAAAAAAACAAATGCAACCCCTGAACTTTCCAAACCCTAAATCCTTAAACCTTAAACCCTCAACGCAACCCTAAGTTTCCCTAATTGGAGGGTCGGGGGACTTAGTAAGTAGGTAAAAAGTAGACTTATAAGTACCCTAACAGGGACCCTAATTAGGGTTGTGATACTTATAACTCCATAAAATAACTACTTACTAAGTCCCCCGACCCTAAACCCTAAACCCTAAACCCTGAACCCTAAACCCTCCACGTAAGTCTTGTTTCCAGTCGGAACCTGCCAGCCGAGCCACCATGAACCACGGCTTG